TCTGTGTGTCTGTCTGTGTGTCTGTCTGTCTGTCTGTCTGCCTGTCTCTCTCTCTCTCTCTCTCTCTCTCTCTCTCTCTCTCTCTCTCTCTCTCTCTCTCTGATTATGTTGGTCGTCGTCCGTTACGCAAAAATGGGCAAGGTCGTCCCGATGTCAGATTGTAAACCAATGCACTGTACGATATAAATTTTCAACCAGGCCTGTACTATCAGTCAGTGACTCCGAGGACAAAGTTCAACTCTTTCGTCTGTGGAGAAAAATGAAACCACACTGCCTCTCAAGCAACGGGCGCGATACTGTCTGGACGATGTAGTCGAAAAAATCTTAAATTTAATAATAGGACTTGAACTCTCTCTGAATAATATGTTTTGGAAGTTCGTTTTTTCAATATTGGCCTGGCAGATAGGAACTGGTAAATTTTGTAACGTGGAACAAGAACAAAAATTAATTTGAGGTTTATTCACTTGACGGTTGTGATCATGGGTAATCGCTATCTCGACTACTCGTGTCTGGCAGCTGTGTCAACAAGTACTGTCAGGGGCGGGGCTACTCTGGTCATGTGTGAGTCCATGTTGTGTGTTTAGTGAATAGACTGCTGACGGATATTACTCAATATTTACCCTTCTACATTCGGAGCTGAGCATGTCGGAGGTATTTTATCGTTGTCGTCTTCGGAACTTCATTTTGTGCTTCTCATTGGGAACTGTAGGAGATATTTTATTCAGGGATGGAAATGGAATCGTTTTTAAGTTTTAATTACGAAGCAGACAAACCATTTCGCCAAGAGACAGTAGGGGACATAAAAAAGAGTGATGACTCTTCGTCTGCGTCGTCAATAGGCTCTAGTGGTATGGAATGGAGACTTTGGCCGGCTATTTCTGCTACAACTTCGTTCCCGTATAGACTACTGGACAATGTTGAAAGTTTCTTCAAGTCAAAACTGCCAAGTCTCCCAGCCCCTGTCAATCAACTCCAAAGTGTTGCGAATTCGATAGCTAGTGGTTTGGAAAAGGTAGGCCCTTCCCTTGTTGTCATATCCTAATACTGAATTATATGTTATAAATTACTGCGTATTTATAGGCTAAACATTGAAGTTTATAATGGAACTAGATCTAGATCTAGAACAAATCTAGATCTATTCCAAACTGTCATACTTTCTTATCTCTTGACGTTTAGTTCAATTCATATTATAATAATGGCATGGTTGTGCGGAGGCTATTTCCTCACCCAATGGGCCCCATTGACCTATTCTGCCGACCAATTCAATTGCCTTAGGCCTATTTATTATTATATTGGTCTCAAAATTCCTAATATAATGCCAACCCTACATATAGCCAATACCTTTAAAATTGTTGACTATAATATTATAAGTGGCCGCGGCTATTCGGACTTGAGTCCGAACAGTCTCCCGTGGCTATTCCCACTCAAACTCCAATGTGCGTGCACAATCATAGGTGTACCGGATGTGAAGTTGACAAGCAATTGGACCTTGACCTTCCTCGGTTTCTACGATCTGGCCGAAGAACTTACAACAAATGGACGCTGACCATGGTGACCCAGTGCGAACTGTGGTCTTTTCTTTACAAAGGATAATATCATAGTAAGGCCGGGCAGTGGGTAATGGTATGGGAGGGAATATAGATCTATATGCAAAAAAAAGGGGTGAAGGTGGTGGGGCGGGCTTGGGAAGTAAGATGGAGAGAGAAAAAGTAAAAGAAAGAGAGAGAGGAAAAGTAGGAGAGAGAGAGGGAGATAGAGCGAAAGATATAGATAGAGAGAGAGAAAGGGGAGGGGGAGGGGGCTGTCTTATAAGGACTGATCTATGAATTTTATGTTTTGATCCCTTTGTAGTCGTGAAATGCAGTGTAATAGCAGAGAGTTTTATAGCCTACCAGTAGTTTAACGTCCGAAGAGGATCGAGAGACTATTCGGACTCAAGTATAGACCTCGCTTAGTAAACCGGTAATTGCGCACGCGAACTGGAATTTGAGTCTGAATAGCCTCTAAGGGCTGTCCGGACTCGAGTTGGAATAGCCACTTCATTAATATATTATACAGAAGATATTTATAAACACCTATTAGGAGCAATGAATGCTGTGTCATTTCATGTAATTTAATAATTTAATAGGCCTATGATGTGCAATGTGTGTGAAATTTATTGGTTGGAGAAAAAAAAGCCAGCGAATACATAGGCCTACATGATGATGCTGGAGTGTAGGAGAGAGGAATCTCTCCACAAATCAATGGAAGGCAGTTCAAACACTGCTACAAGAAGTTACAAGTGCGTTTATGTTAATTTAAATTGACCTGCTCAGACTTATAAATTCTTCTTGTCCAACTATCCAAGTTTATTTTTATTTGCTGGGTTGTCATAGAGTTATTTAAACTAAAACGTAGGCCTAGAGTGATGTCAGGCAAGTTCTGCTGAGGAGCCGGAGAAATGGTACTGACAGCTCAAAATATAATTTTGGGGGGTTTAAATGGAGGTGTTTTTGCCTGATTTGACACAATGTGAGAAGAACATGGGTCTCCTGTGTCGGACAACAAAGCCCCACTAGAATCCATGGCTACGCCCCAGATGCTGGTTCTGACAACTCAGCTGGCGCACAGCAGGGTACTATTAGAGTTAGTATAGAGACTACTTGGCACTCTTAATTGTAAGTTCTGCATATTTATACAAGCACTTTTCAACCATTAACACTATTAATTGGATCATTTTGGAGGTGAGCTGAGAGGGATACAAAGGGGGCTCTTGTGGTGTAGACAGTGTTCGCCTCTCATTCAAGGTCCCGGGCTCAAACCCTGACAGCGATGAAAAATTGTTGTCTCTAAAAAATGTTCCCCTTTCACCTCTTTTCTTGCTCTTATATTCTGTCATCTGCTTTCATCTCCACTTCTTGCCCCCACTGGGGCCCACTCCTTCCCCGTTTGCCCCTCCTTTGGGCTCCTGACTCTTCCTGCAGCCTTTCTACTGTTACTCCTTTGCTCCACCTTCCTGCTGTCTTACAATCACATCCCTGATCTTAGGGAACGTAAGATCTAACACCTGGCCTTCTCAGTATAATGTAAGGGCGAAAAATCTCCGCGGTCCGGCAACTTAATTTGCGCACATTAACCCTATCTGTATGTCGTGTTTTACTATCATATCCATACGACGTGGGGAACTCTGTGCCACTACTTTCCAAAGAGGAAATTTAATCTTTAATCCGGTCCGTAAGCTTTGCATAGCAGTCTGTCAAAATTATTTTTTGAGAAATACTGAAAGTTTCAAAGAGATGTTCACACTAGAAGTGTATTCTAAAATGAGAAGAATACAGCCCCGGGGTACAAATGACCCCAGGGCATATGGATAGGGTTAAAGATAGCTTTGGGCGCCACCGTACCAAACTGAAAATGTTTAATGTGTCCTGTGCGCTCATATGACATGTAGTTGTGAGCGCCATAGAACACTTACTAAAAAAAAGGGATAAAAAGTACCAGCAGATAGATGGAGGTACTCTATAAAACTTTTACCCACATTGTGATGGAACTTACATGTGTATATCGGTGAAGTGCCTACTGCTACACTGAAGACCCTGACACTTTGTGTATGGTAATTAGAGTAGTCTTTTATATTTTAGTACATCATCTAATAAAGGCGTGAAAATACTTTACAAGAGTTAAATTCGTCATACTCATTCTATGGCTAAACTGCTTTACCTAAAACAGAGAGAGAGAGAGAGAGAGTCTGAGAGAGAGAGTCTGAGAGAGAGAGAGAGAGAGAGAGAGAGAGAGAGAGTCTGAGAGAGAGAGAGAGAGAGAGAGAGGCAGACAGACAGACAGACAGAGTGATAGACATACACACACACACACACACACACACGGAGTAAATAAGATTATCTTTTTTTCTGGGGATGTTTAATCTTTCTTTTTTATTTGATGTATTTGATACATACATGATGTTTAACATTTTTTAATTTTATTTTTATTTGTTTAATGGGTTTTTTTTTACATGTTGCAGCTCAACATGGACATAGATGAAAATATTGTCACACTGGAGCAAGTACTGGAAGCTCATCAGTTTTTAAAGTCCTCTCCTGATATGGTGCGAACCCCTACTCTTTTACACGTCCAAAGCATGTTCACTAAGGACGTTAAGGGACCAAAGTCCTCAGGACTCAGTTCAAAAGTTGATGCCACCAGTCTTCATAAGGTGGATCTCTTCATGAAGATGGAAAACATGCAAACCACTGGTAAGGTAGATAGAATGCTGGATCCTGTGACAATTTACTAAGATGGATTTCTGTACTGAGTTGTTTAGTTTTAAAGAGTTTTATGGCACTTTCTACACAATAAGGTCATATAAGTGCAAAAGATTAAAGGTGTTACAAGAGAGTAACAATTTACGTTTTTAAAAAGGAGGAGAGATAAAGACGATTTTTTAAATAGGAAAGAAGGAGCAAACCACACCAACCACCCACATACTGAATTGTGCTTTACAAAGCTCAAAACTGGAAATTAAAAAAAAAATACACGCTTGTAAAAATAGTGAAAAAGTTGTCATTATCAGAAAATGAACTGTTTTGCATGTAGTCTGTTGCATAGAAAAAGTGGTAAAAAATGAATAGACGATTTTTTAAAATAAATCTTTGGTTGGGGGCCTCTTTTCAATAAGCAGACCAAGTTTTAGGGAAAACAGCCCCAGAAAATAATAATGTTGAAATTTTGTACTTAATTTACCAAACATACTTTAAAAGCATACTTCATTATCACATAGCATAAAGCAAGGTCCCGTCACTTCTGCCCTGTGTCCTGTCTTTGAGAAAGTTACGGTTTAAATTTATCAGGTTCAGCAAATTACTGTTCTGACCAAGAAAAAGCTTAGTGACCTGCTGTCATTCATAATTGTCACATTGAACATTGCTCGATATTCTTTGTTACTTGCTTTTGCTTACCATTCTGCTGTCTAATAACTGATTTTTTGCAGGGTCCTTTAAAATCCGAGGCGTGCTGAACCAGATGCGCAAAGTGAAGGAGAGGCACGGGAAACAGTGCAAGCTCATAACCATGTCGGCAGGGAATTATGGGAAAGCATTTGCTCATTGTGTTGGCAAATCTTCCCCGGGGTCTGCTTGTGTTATGCCTCAAACAGCACCAGCACACAAGGCTAAGCTGATTGAGGTGAGTACTTCCGTGATGTACGCTGTAACCTTTGTGATGTTTTAGAGAGGACCAATAATTTTGTAGGATACATGCTGCTACTTATTTTTGTCATGCATTTCCATTTGATATTTTTGCCCTTTACATGTTTACATTGTACAAAGAGATTATACATTACATATATTGCCTCTAACTTGCACAGTGTAGGCATTTTTATTAGGGCATAACCGCTGACATTTGACTGTTTCATTATCATAGAAAATGTAGTGAGTTGTTTTGTCCCTCAGTCTCAGTAGACAAGTTTGCACAAGTGCACAAGTAATAGTGATTTAAATTTCCTTCTCCTTCCAGAATTTTGATTAATGTTTCCTGTCAGTGTTTTTGTCGCTTCCACTTCGGATGTTGTTATAGGTCTATTCCATTTTGTTCTTTTTATTTTCACAGAACATGGGAGTGGAAGTGCACAAGGTGGATACATCGAAGCTGATGGAAGAAGTTAATCGGCTAGTGAAGGAGGAGGGTTTTGTTTTTTGCCATCCATTTGACGACATTGACCTCATTGCGGGTTATGCAAGGTACCTCTTCATTTTGAAATTATTTTTAATAAGTTAACATTTGCTACCGTCACTCTTGCTGTTTCTGTGCATTATTGGATGAGCAGACCCAGAAAAGGACTTCAATCACTTCTAGATACTGTTGTAACAGAAAGTGAGCGTAAAGGATTATTGTTGAATGTAAAGTAAACAGAATGCATGGTAATGTCCAAAAAAGCAGCAAATCCTAGTTGTAATCTCATTAGCAAAGGTGAAAAGATCAAACAAGTCCTACAGTTTAAATATGTAGGATATATGATTACATGTTATGCCAAATGTTCCACAGAAATAAAACGGAGAATTACAGTGGCTAAGGCTAGTATCAATAAAATGAGCCTAACCCGGAAAAATAGAAACATCTCAATGACTACCAAAATGAAAGTTCTGAAATGCTATGTATGGTCAACCCTTCTATATGGCTGTGAATGCTGAACAATCACTTAAAACAGCGAAAATAAAATAGAAGCAACAGAAAATTAAATGTGGTTTCTTAGGAGATTGCACAAGAGTATCGTATAAGGAAAAGAAATCAAATGAGGTAGTGCTGGATGGAGCCCACGTGGAACGCTCACTGTTAAAAACAATCTGGAACCAACAAATGCAGTTTTTGGGGCACCTAAATAGACTTAAGGGTCTTGAACTTCTAGCTCTCACTCGCAAAATTGAAGGCAAACGAGGCAGGGGTAGGCCCAGAGCAACCTACTTAGGGAACCTGTACAAATGGGTAAAAGGGAAAGATCAGGGATACATAGTTTTTTAAGAGCATCCGAACAAAGGAATGAATGGAGAACCATGATCGGCGATGTCTCTTGCAGATCTGGCACTGTATGAATGAATTGGATGAGTTTTTATTGCCAAAGTTGTTTTTGCTTTATTATTGCTGTTCATACAGTTCTTTTTTTTTCTCTGCAGAGCATCCTTTTTTTCTTATTTTATTAATAAGTATTGCCTTTGTCTCGCGAAAGTAATATAGATATCTGAATTGCCTTTGGCAAGTAAAGGGAAGTGAAGGGATTTTGGTTTGATAAGTTGCTGGTATCAGTTTTGTTTTTTTATGAATGCTGTCACTTCCGGCAATGTTAATTAAAGTTAAAATTGTGACATAATGATTGCCAACTTTGACATTTCAGCAAGTTTCACCTTGTCAGTATTATTTTGCACAAAATTTAATGTAAAATTAGTTGTTATAGTACGTTGCTAATGGGTATACACCCTCTGTTGTGGGAGTGTTGAAGAAAAAAAAAATATTTCAGAGACTGTTAGGTTTTTGATGTTTTAAATGGTCAAAAGTCTTCAATAAGCACAATTTCTGTCATTTTGTCAGGACACTGGGCCAGGATAAAAATGTTCAAGGAAAGATAATGATTTCGGCCTTACTTGAGTTTGAATAATGAAGCTATGCATATTGCCTAGGTTTTTCAGCCAAATTAATCTTGGCAACTGAAGAATGCAAGAAGTTAAGAAGGGGAGAAGAGAGAAGAATATGATTAGAAAAAAATCCCTGTGCTCACGATGATTTATTGTAATTTTTTTTTCTTTTAATGTACTTTTGAATATTCACTTTGTCTGCTGTGCAGCTCTGCCTTGGAAGTGTTGGAAGATGTCCGGAATCCCGACGTGATTCTCGTGTGCTGTGGTGGGGGCGGCCTCGTCTCAGGTGTTGCTGCTGCTGTCTCTCTCTCCAAAGTGAGCAACTGTCGGGTGTACGCCGTGGAGCCACAAACAGGTGTGCTTGACTTTGTTGTTCGCTTATTGTTGTTTTTTAAATACTGCTTTTGTGGCATGCTATTACTTCTTCTTCAATGGACAGAATAGCATCGGCTATTTTTTATCTGAAGCCGTGTCCGTATGGGCAAGGCCCCAGGGTGACTTGGAGCTCAGTTTCAGTGGATTGTTGGTTCTTTATGAGTAGGGATTTTTTTGGTTTGAACCCTTGTCCTAAGAATGGCAAACACCAACCTGACTTCCATGTGTCGGGCTTATTGATGGAGCATTTTCCTCATGAACATGGTTTTGGTTTCTGACATTTTTTTCTAAATTGTTTTGTTTGAGAAATGGGAAAGGTATTTCCTTCCTTCATTCTGAAATTTGTATAAAACTTGGCAGATAAATCTTTTGGAAAAGGAAAAAGTATTGTATTCAAGTTTGTGAAAGGGGTAGTCTTTTTAAACGATCTCCTTTAGCTGAAATGAGACTGATAAAATGTTGTAGAAGACAGTCCAATGGATAGCAAAGGTCTAGGTCCATCCACAAATGTTTTTTCACTTCACTTTATCACCCAGCATCTGTGGTGTAGTAGTAAAGCTCTTTGCCGTTGCAAACAGAAGACACGAGTTTTGAGTCCCTGATGGGAAAGTTTTTTTTTATAGAGTGTCTATTTTGCTGTGATGCTGTATCCCACTCATCCTGGGTTGGTCCTGAAAGGCAGGGTGGTAGAAGCAGCCTGCTTCCTAAACAATGTAAATTGTTTTGATCTTTGTTTAGAAAAACATTTACATTAAACAATCACTTTCTTGTCTTCATCAACATGCAAAGATACACCATATTGAAAGCTGAGTACCTTGCTACTTTTCTTAAAGAAGTTTTTTTTCTTTTTCAGCTCCAACAATGTATGAGAGCTTTAAGACAAGGAGGCCGGTCACCATTCCACATGCAAAGTCAGTCGCTGCAGGACTTGCACCGCCTTATGCAGGTTTGATTTGCTCCTCTTCATATATCCAACAATCAATCTTTAACCCTTTTGTTGCCAAAGGTATAAGTTCCTACTGTCAGCACTGATTTTCAGCTGATCTTGTTACCCAGGACTGCAGCCTAATGTCTCAATGTAAATGGATGCCCGGTCTAGATCTAGTGCACTCATGACATATTTCGGACACTAGGCCTTTGATTGTTTCACTTTTCTTATTTCTCATTTTCTCCCATCTTTCTTACTCATTAATTTCGAATAACATGCAAATCTAAGCAAAAAAGTGAATTTATTTGCCTTTTTAAAGTCATTTCAATGTTTACGTTTTACGAGAGCCTGGTAGTAAAGAAATACTAGCAAATTTGGTACCGATATACGCATCTTTTATTTCTGAATGCGAATCTACGCAGCGCTTGTGAATAAAACTCCGTTCAGAAGAATTAGAGCCAGAGTATTAGCGTGACGTACATGTAACGTCATAATGGCAACTATAATAGGAGTGGCCAGTTTTGCCTACTTCGGTGATGTACATGGTACGGCACAGCGCTAAAAATTAGGCATTTTCATGGCGTACCTGGTACGTCATAAGGCAACAAAGGGGTTAAATTTCTATAGGCCTATACTCTTTAACATTTTTAACTTCACACATTTTAAGAGCGTGTAGTTCGAAAAGTACACGTCCAATTGCTTTGAAATTTTTGCACATGTCACGCCAGCTCCTTGTCGTTCGTGAACTGTACTCACTAGGATGCACTGGTCTATCGCTTTGTCTGATGATGTCATTCACGAGGTTTTTATATTTTGTCAAATACTGTGAAAATGTGTGGGTGACTTTGAAAACAAAAACTACACCCGCAAAGTTGGACTCCTTCCAAATTTTTTGCCATTTAAAAAAGTGGCTTCTCTTTATTGATTCACCATCCTTTGCTTGAATGAATCAGAGAGAAATCACATCATTAAAATGCTTCAGGTGGGCACTCTCTATTTTCGGCTGTTGGGAGTGGGCTCAACATGTACAGACACACTGTGTATGCTACATGTGATCAAATAGCAACGATAGGCTCCCAAAAGGACAGATCTAAGTTAGTAGGACTCAGAAAGACCAAACGGAGGGTGGATGCATTCATCCTAACGCAACGCTTGAGAAATCAATTTCAACCGGCAAACAAAGACCCAGGATGAGTCGAAAAGACTTAGAAATGACAGTACGACCTTTGTCATGACTGTTTTTCTTCATTTGAAAGAGAAGAATCTAATGCTGGGTGCCTTGTTTGTCGCATAAAACTGTAGCTCCATCACATCCAGCACTGACTTCACTTGGCACAGCGTCGCGTGTGATGGCCACATCGCATTTGAAATAGGTGCATATTTTGAGATGAGTCCCAATTTTTGACTGGAACGGCACAATGTATGGGACTGAGTCTACAGAAGACCCAGCCAAAGTTTACATCCCAGCTTGCTTTAGACAAACAAATAATTTCGGTGGAGGTTGTGTCATGGTGTGGGCTGGAACCAAAGATGTCGGGGAGACCACGCTTGTGTCTATTCGCAAGAGCATAACAGTTCAAGGCTAAAACAACCAAGTTCTCGAGCCCAATGTACTTTTCTTTCATAATCAGTGCCAATGACAAGTATTCATGCGAGATAATGCACATGCCCATAACGCTGCTGTGACAAATCAATTTCTCAAAACTAACGATATTCCTCTCCTGCACACATGACCAGCGCATTCACTAAATCTTAATCCAGTTGAGCACTTGCGGGGCATTTTAGATCATGTCATTCGCGGCAGACCATATTTTCCCCAGTCCCTTGTTCAGTGAGAACAAGCCTTAAATTCAAGTGTGGAATATCATCCCTCAAAATACAATAACTCAATTCATCCTGTCCATGCGCCGACGATGTGAAGATGTGAACACCAGATGTCATCACACGTTACTGAAAGCTGTCACTTTTCTTTTCGACACTGACAACTATAATTTCATAATTGAAGATTAAAAACATTCTTAAATTTGCATTCCACATGTTTCCCTTGCTGTAAAATGAAAGCACTGTCTTATCTGAAATTTTCGGACAGATTTGACAAGTATTAATCAGGATATTGCCTTTAGTATGAGGTGTGAAGTTAGAAATGGTATAGAATATATTTAGGCTATTGAAAAAAATGTGAAATTTTGTTCTTTAAAGTTTTGCGCAATATTATGGAAAAAATTAAGCTCTTAATTCAAGTCTTATGTGCCTCCAAAGACCTTATTTTTTTATTTTGAGGAGTTTAGTCGCTTTACTTTGGTATTGAGCAGTATAAGAGAATTGCTTGGACTGCTTTCTACATAGGGCTTGTGTAAATTTAGAGTCCAACCATTTTCACGTGTTCTTATTGAAACCCCTTGTATCAAAAACCTGGGCTAATGCACTGAAAGGTAAATTTCTGAGTACTTTTGTCCTTTTCAGTGAAAATGAAGGATGTGATCCAATCTGTCCTTAGTTCAGGAATATGAAAACCGAAGGAAAGAATCCCAGATTGTCTTCTCACTCATGTGTACTACGACCAGGAATGGAACAAATACTTTGACTTGATAGGCGAATACCTTATTTCTAGGCTAGAGTCTACCAGAGGTGCCGATTTTCTGTATAAATCCAGAAATCCAGATTCTTAAACTTTCCTGGATTTATATTTATTAATATACTTCAGTTAATACATTTCATTATATTTTAGTCACTTTTTTGCATGTCATATTGCACTTTATATAAAAAATAGTCTTGATACAAGAAGCGTGGAAAAAATGATCTGTGGATTTTGAGTCCCCACTTGCAAGTTTCCATGGGGTCCAAAAAGTTAAGGATTTTTTGTTATATCAGTTATGTGTTTCTTTCTAGAAAGCAAGCTATCGAGTTGATGAGTTTATTATTGATGCTGTGCTGGAAGTTGTCGGTCATTCAAATAAAAATTAATACACAACAAGGTATACAAAAACGAATTTTTGTTTAAAGTTGTTGGGCAATGTTTTGGGAAAATGATTTAAATATATGAATTATTTGAGTCATCGGGAAGGACAAAACTAAAGTTGAATATGTGTTTTTCTTTGCCAGGTTCCTTGTGCTACAAACATTGCCGATGGTTTGTGGAAGATGTCTTACTAGTGTCAGATGAAGAGATGCTTTCTGCAATGAGGGTTCTGTTTGATCGTGGCATCAAGGCGGAACCATCTGGCTGTGCAGCTTTCGCGGCTCTACTCAGTGGGAAAGTTCCAGATGTTGAAGGGAAGAAAGTAGTTGTGTACATTACTGGAGGCAATGTGTCTTGTTCAGAGCTTAGTGACATCATGCAAGATGGTCGGTGATGGAGTTTTATGAAGTGAATTTCAACCCTTTGAGCCCTGGCCACCGGTACACTGGTGGCGCGTAATTTTGCCCGTATGCCTTGCCACTGGTACACCACTGAGGGAGACCATATCCCTAAACCGGCCCCACCTGGGACTAAACAGACATGGAAAACAGTGTTTGCTACAAAGAACGTTATTGATTATTTTGAAAATCTCTCTGACTCAGATGCTGATAATGATCAAGGCTACCCTGAGTAGGATATGGAATGTGATTCTTACGAGGATATGAATGAAGACGTGAATCACTCAGGAGCTCAGGAAGATGGGCATGGTAGCCTCAGGAGGTCAGGGCTTAAAGGGTTAAGAAATGGATAGTTTTAGCAGCTCAGTTCATGAATCCAGCATTGTGAAAAAATCAATCGTAGTCTTCTCAAGTGGCCCCGCCTCCTTTCTGGTCTTTTATGTTGGGGAAGTGACAGCTCAACAAGCTGTCTTTGCTTTTAACCTGTGTTTTATTCCCTGAAGTTTTAGAAATGAATGAAGTTCGAAGGTAATAACAAATATTACATGTGTTTTTTATTGACAGGTTTATGTCTTGTAATAAATTGCAATGGCTTCCTCAGGAAATATTCCTGGCTCAGTTTGATCTCAATTCTAGTTGCTGGGCTGTTCAAACAGGGTCCCCATAACATAATTTGACAAATTTCCAGTGGTAGAATAATGCAGGTGTGTGAGTAAATTGACTTTTGGATGTGAAGATCAAAATACTAATTATTTCAGTGTACTTGGCTTTCTTTTTTTTGTGTTCCTTTTCAATTTTTTTCACTTAAAATTTACAGAGCACTCGAGAGTTGTTATACTTGGTGAGAAATTAGGAAAGCTTTGAGCTTAATATATATGAATATGATGTTTTATGAAGAATTATCTTTTGTGTCATCTAATCTTGCATTTGTTTTTTTGGCTGTTTTTAAAAGAGAAATGTTGATTTGTAAAAATCTTTATTTAAACTTATTTATTTGTTTTAACTGATGAGCAACTGCCCAGGTTGTAATTAATAACCCGTACTTCTTAGAATTTTAGTGCTATAGTAGTATTCAAGTACAGATTTTTCACATAATGTAATGATGCAGTATTTAATTTCTTGGTTATCTTGCGCATGTTGTGAACTATTCAAAGGAGAAGTGACCATGATTTATGGAAAACAAAGAGAAGTGATATCAATGTGGCCTAGTATTTTACCAATGAAGTTCAATTTGTGACTATCTTCTCTGCAGCCCAGTTTCAACAGGCTGCCCATCTCCTCTTTTTATTAGGGTGAATCTTTGTGAGAAAGGGCAATGATGATGGAGACTTGTAAAAATATTCTCGCATTTATTTTTAATTATGGCTGTTTTGTGTGAATGTAGCCAGACTGTTTATTTATACATATTTCCGTCCTTTTAGGCTGACACACACCCAGAGAGAGAGAGAGAGAGAGAGAGAGAGAGAGAGAGAGAGAGAGAGAGAGAGAGAGAGAGAGAGAGAGAGAGAGAGAGAGAGAGAGAGAGAGAGAGAGAGAGAGAGAGAGAGAGATCATATGTAAAAAGTAGTTAAATTAAATATTTATTTTTGTAAATAATAGATGGAGTGAAAATGACTATTTCATTCCTTTGTGTAATGCAAGGTTTTCTCCTTGGTTACATTTACATACTTTCTATAGTGGAGACTAACGAGACGTTCAAATCAATATTACAATTCATGACTTAGACGAATGGCTGCTTTGTTTTCTTAGTTGCGTTTAAGTGAGTCCCAAATCCTAACTGGCAATCAATGAGTGACGTGATATTGCAGGAAGTTTCAGTGGCGAGATACTGAATTGAGATTTGTGAATTTATGATAATTCCTTCATTCCTTCTATGATGTAAGACAAAAGTTTATACTTGAGTGAAATGTAAGACAAAGTGGTTCCCAACTCCAATGTACTGGATTTTCAAAAGCCAGTGGAAGGAATTATAGCCGTAGCAAAAGTCTGTCTCAGCTATCTGTAACATGGTATGTTTTGGGGTGATTATGGGTCCTTTCAAGAGTGATGTATCTACATTGCTTGTATTAGTATTTTTGTGTTTCTTTTTAACTTTAGAATATAGTCTTAGCTAGTCTGAAACTTAAATTATTGTAATATGTTAGCTGTTTTACCTTTATGTTCAGAAGTATGACCACTGATTATAGATCTCAGAAGCACTGCCTATTTTTATTCAAGCTTGAACTGATGTTGTTGTCTATTTTTAGAGTATTTTTCTGGTCAAATTTGAATCAATGTCATAGAAATGAGAGATTAGAATGTGAAACTCAATGCCTTATGTGCTACCTCATTCACACATGAACTGGTTATATTATTCATATAGGACATATATTTTTTTAAAAGTAGAAATATAGTAACTTTGAAAAGAAAAGCTGTAAAATTTGGTGTAAGATAAAGATTGTTTGATTTGCATGTCTTTCTGTGACTAACTTTTATATTTTATGTATCATTATCTCTATATATAGGATAGCGGTGCAAGGATATCTTGAGAATGCAGGGTTCTTTGGTAAGCAGGGGAATGATGAGGGCTGCCTGGATTATGAAAAGGGTGCTCTTCTTTTGTAATTGAGTGCACCACAAATATTGCACAGGGTATCAAAGTATTGAGCAAAGTAGCATAACATAGGGTGACAGAACTGTAAGAATTTCAGGTCTATGTAAAGATTGTCTAGAAGCAGACCTCTACCCTGCTACAAAAATGGTGGAATTGATATATCTATACATTATCCTGTCTGGTCAGGCTGTATTTGTGTAGTATCTAGTTTTTATTAGTCAGAAAAAAAGAATGTCATTTTACATTTATTGCACATTTTTTCAGAACTAGTCTGTAAAAGTAACGTTTGAGAAAATGGAATCTGAGTTCAATTTGGAGTGCAGTAGTTATATAGATTTTACCATTTTTAAAATCCAGTATAATGAGACATTGAAAACAAAATTGTTTGTATTTATGTATTGGTTGTGAGGGTGGAGAGTATTAGCTTTTAAAATGTGCAATGTACTCAGTGTGCGCACTCTTTTTACCCGGGCATTTTATGTATTCAGATGACTGTGTTCAGATTTGCGATTGCTTCATCCTTTAGATATGTATATATATAATATATATTTACAATGTGCTAAAATAAAGTATGTTATTCCACCTTTTAGGCCGAACTGACATAGGTGAACTGACTATTAATTTGACAGTTTTCTGACCCTTGAACTCATGAAAGCAGATCTATCAATAAGTTGGTCAAACTGAAATCTGCCAATAAAGATGTGAATATTTCAGTATGATAACTCTCGGGCAAAATGGGTACATACTTTGTGACTTTAATTTTGTGTTTTGTTCATACATTTTTACAACATTGAAGCTTCTTAAGCTATTCTCTTTAAATTTTCTACATCTGATGTATATTATCAGAAAGGAGCTTTGCATATCTAAAGTTCTGCAAAGATAGATTTTTCATGGTATTGAAGTATTTTTTATATGAGCTTTCTATTGACAATGAGGTCAACATAACTTGTCTTACTTTTGGTATTTTCCTCTTCAAGTGTTGTGAGACACATGGGAATGCATGTTCAATGACACAGGCAGATACACGTTTGACTTTTGACTTCCAAATAAAATCAGACACTAGGAACTGGAGAATATGTTATGAATGCTATTTTTTTCAAGCTGAGAATTTATTTGTTGTTTTTTTTTAGCTTTTATTTAAATTGTCCATTTTCACTTTTGAAAAATTGCGCCACGACACGACATAATCAGGCACTCATCAACTTTTAGGTACTGGTATGGAGTTATTAATGTAATTTTAAAGGTTGTTCATTTATTTTTTATTTGATGAAAAAAATAATACCCATCATTATTGAACAGAACTCAAGATATTTTTAATTGAAGGAGATGGGGGTCACCAGGTGTCATAGGTAAAAGTACCATAAAAACTATGAAGATTCCTTGTTAAGATTAGCTTGGTGAAAGGACTTTTATTGTGCTAGGTCTGTTGCTGTCACCTCTGCTGTTTATATAGAGCTGTGATGGTTTTTATGTGTTGTTTTACAACTGTAACTAACCCAAAATAATTCGGTTATGTTTCCATCAAAATCACATCTTTTGAAGTAATTGCAGCCAGTCTTGTGAAACCAAAACCTTGATACGAAAATAGGGTAGTATGTCATTAACGAAGATGTTCTTTTAATCTAATTTGGACATGGGAACTAGATAGCCTTTAACTATTCTAACTGATTGCAGCACCTTGCTTAATAGCATAAACATTTGTTGTTTAAAAAAAATGTAAATACAATATGATTTGGGAATTTTATCAAAGGGACCTGATGTGATCACAGCTCACCATATTATGTTGTTACTTTCAAATACTCGAGTCATGTATGCTGGCAAGCATGCTTGTCTTAGAGAACCTTTGAATTACTCACATTGTATTCCTGTTGGAAATAATAATTCATTCTTTTTGTTGCATTTTCTGTGAAACTTTGAAGATAGTAGGGTAGTTCAGTCTTTCAGGTTTATTTTACATTTTGTCAACTTCAAAGTGATTCAGAGAGGTTTTTAAGTGATTCCATCAGAGCGTCTCCTTTTGGTCACATGCAGGCTCTTTTTTTGCCACTCCTTTAGTTTTTTTTTCCCTTGTCAGCAATACAGTTTTATTCCAGGGGGAAACATTACTTTGTGTTGTTGCCAGATAGTAAACGTCACCTGATTAAAATCTTAATTTGAATAGCTTTATTTCCTTTGCAACAGCAAGTATATACTTTGTAATATAAGACAGAGTTGTTTCTACGAGTATGCATAATGCTCTAGCAGTTCATTTGGAATAAAACAGGGCATCTAAATTACATTGAGGGTGTTTCAACCACCTCTTCGCGCCAAGATTTGACCTGAAGGTCTTTAACTGCTTTAACTAATGGTTATAATATGCTTGGTGGCCATTATAAGGCACTCACACAAAGGCTCAGACACAGACACAGGCACGCACACGCACACACACACACACACACACTCTCTTTCTCTCTCTCTCTCTCTTTCTCTCTTTCTCTCACTCACCCTCACACACACATGTGCTCACACACACAGACACACACGCGCTCGCGCATGCATGCATGCACGCACGCACACACAATTACGTTTTGTCACCATTTGTAACTTTTATTGTTTGCAGGGTTTTTTAATTGTCACAATGTTAATGCTTGTGTTTGAAGCCGGAGGCCAAAGGGTATTTTGACATTATTCCTGTGACGTGCTTTAGTCTGTCTAATTTACTGCCGAATATTTATGGGAATAAGTCTAGGAACTTTTCCACTTTTGTTGGAAGGAGATGGCATTCATTTAATAAATATTGTGTGATGTTTGTTTTCAAATACACATTAAAGAGCAGGAATTGGAAGGAAAATTTAATGTCTTTTTGTGTCTGATGTTTACAGCGTTTATCAATGTGAATCAGGCTTTGACTATATCAGATTTGTCAATAAAGTTGAAATGACTTGTCTTTGTTTTGTGACTAATACATTTATCTCCCTGTTTCAGTTAGCACGCTGTTGTGTTGAAAAGATACGAAGACCACTCGTTATTTCTGTTTGTAGCCATTATAATGTGGTTATAAAGAGGTAGCAAAGTTGTTTTGAAAGTGATTTGTTCGAGAGACTGGAGAACAATATTAACGTGGCCTAGAGCCATTTTTTTTTGGTAAGTGTTTTACGGCGCTCGCATCTGCATAAGGTCATATGTGTGCGTGGGACACATAAAATATTTTCAGTTGGTACGAAATTTTGAATTTTGCCCGGGTGGCGGCTGAAACCTAGTCTTATCGATTTTCAGAACACCAAGAGATCTTTAACATGCGCAACTTGCACTCCAAGATTTTTCACCCTTGTCCGAGAAGGCTAGGTGTACATCTTTCCTACCAGAAGATCAGGGGTGTGGCTGAAAGACAGCAGTAAGAAGGAGCCAAG